CAGACGTTTAAAACAATCACTGCATTCTCAGTTCCGAAAATCGTTGTCGGTCTATCTTGCCACTGGCGTCGCTTTCCCTATTTCGCTGGAGTAGTCTGTCGTTCGTCGCCAATTCATAGCACTCATGTCGCCGTTTCAAGGCCATGTCGCTTGTCGGAATTTACCCCTAACAGGGCCTCTTATATGTCGTTTCGTTGGGTATATCATGTCTAGTCACATAACTAATTAATTAGTTAATTAATTAATTAATTAAAAAACGAGATTTTTTTTTATAAACAAGCCGAAAGACCTGTCATTAGTTTTACCCGTGAGCTAGAGTGTGACCGCTTTTTTGTCTAGTAGTTTTACAGTATTGAATATGTAATCCGGCCCCTTGTGATCCGAAACGCGGAACTGTACCTTTTTCCACAGCTAATTGCGTTCACCTAATAATGAGATGATGATTTTTGTGAAACTTTCAACGCTAGTGCTGAATAATAGGCAGTATTTGTTAAACAGGAATTTCCTAGATCACGAAGAGCTAGTGAAACTGGCGAGACGTACGCGCACTGAAGCGCTTTGACTGCCGTTCCCCCGGACTGGACTTAAATACGAGTTTCTTGTTTTGAGAAAACAAGATAATTTTTAAAGTTTGTTGTGCACTTTAGCCAAACGCGCAGCACTGTACCAGTCATTGTCAATTTTTTCTCACGGATTTCGAAAGGGCTAACTCAGAGTAACCGCAAATTACCTGATATCACGTGTAAAATGTACCAACTTCAGTTTCCTCGCTTACTTGTTTCATGTCAGTATGATTAATTTGTTTTATAGTGTCTGCTTTCATAGTCTGCTCATTGACAAAAGCTTGGATAGATGTAGTCCCTTGGATAGAACAAAAAATCAACAACAACAACAACAACAACAACAACAAAATGATTTAGGGTACAATTTCATCGATCTCGGAGATTCCTTCCTGTTTCTCCATGAATGTTTCAGGTGCGGGCCCGGCGGTTTCTGGATTACTCAATCTTCCCGCTTTTCAATTTTTAAGACGAACAAAACCCACAGAGCAAAATCAATACAGGCAGAGTGTTAGTTAATGAATCATTTTGCTTTTCAAGACTGATCAGCGCCTACACCTTATTCTGGCAATATTAATAAAGTAGAAACTAAAAGAACAAGAATTAGTATAGTTTCAACAATGTATGTGAGATAAGCACTACAAATAATGTCTAAACATACCGCTAAATTATTTACAGACCTGCGGCGATAAACTATTGCAATTAGTAAATATAACAAAATTTCACCATAAACTAAGAAGAATTCATCTTTCGCAACCACTGACGCCGATAAAACCAATCTGTAAAACTTATCAAAATCGTTACTTAC